GTCTCCTATTGGGCCTAGAGGCCCAATAGATCTCCTTTGAAAAATTATCTTCTTATGGAGTACCTGCTCTGAGGTAGGCACTGTTCTAGCTGAGCTACAGGATGGCTTGGAGAAAAGACATTCCTTCTTCAAAGTGGACACAGGGTGGGCCCTGTCCTCTCAGAGGAAATGTTAAGTAACATTTGTCCACTGAGGCCTCAAGTCAAGCCACTACAGAAGGATGCCCAAATCTGGTCATAAAAGAATTATGCCACTTTCTCAGTATAAGCATCTCTGGCCTGTACCTAGTCGATACCAGTAGCACATCAACTCCAGTTATGACAAGCACTTACATCTCCAGACGTTGTTAAATGTCCACTCAGGGACAAATGGAGTAGAGAACACTGAGCCCCTTTCTAGTCACCAGCTAGGAACAACGATGATCAAGATTTGTTTTGTTTTTACCTCTAAATCTGCACAGTTGAAAGTGCGGTGCTGTGGGTTAATGGACCAGACTGCAAAGCCGCTTGAACTGCAAGGTCGGCAGTTCAAGCTCACCAACTGCTCCTTGGAAACTGTATACAGGGTCGCTATGGGTCAGATTCGACTTGACGGTACTTCACAACAATGAAAGTTACATGTGGGTTAATGCGCCAGACTGCAAAGCTGTTTGAACTGCAAGGTTGGTGGTTCAAGCTCACCAGATGCTCCTCGGAAACCTATACTGAGTTACTATGGGTTGGAACTGTCTCGATGTCACTAAACAACAACAACAAGTCACATGTGGTCAGAGACCTGGTGTGGTGTTGTAGGATAAACACTGGACCACTAATCACAAGGTCTGTGGTTCAAACCCATCGGTTGCTCTTCAGAAACCCTATACAGGGTCTCTGTGAGTCAAAACCGACTCCGTGATACTTAGCTACAGTAACAACAGCCACATCTGATTTAATTCATTATTTTAATGAATTGAAATTCTTTAAAATGAAGAGTGTTACATGCTTTATCATTGAACCACAACTGTATATTTTTAGGATTATAATAAATTACTAATTCATTTTAATCATTGAATATTTAGTATCCAAATCTGAGATGTGCTATAAATGGAAAGTGGAGTCCTGGTGTGGCGCTGTGGGTTAATGCACTACACTGCAAAGTCGGTTTGAACTGAAAGGTTGACAGTTCAAACTCATCAGTTGCTCCTTGGAACTCTATGCAGGGTTGCTATGGGTTGGAATGGAGGTTATGACACTTAACAATAACAACCACAAATAAATGTAAAATACTCACCAGATCTCAAAGAGTTAGTACTAAACAGGATTATAAAGTATGTTTGGTTGATAATCTATTGATAATGCTTTTACACTAAAATAATACCTTGGGTATACTGTGTTAAAGAAAATATATTGTTAAAATTAATTTCATCTATTTTTACTCTTTGAAAGTGGTGACTGGTGGTGGTGGTTATGTGCCGTGGAGTCGGTTCTGACTCATAGTGACCCTATACAGGGTTTCCAAGGCTGTAAATCTTTATGGGAGCAGAAAGCCTCATCTTTCTCCCGCGGAACAGCTGGTAGTTTCGAACTGCTCACCTTAAGGTTCACAGTCCGATTCGTAATTAAATCACGAATATAGTTTGCATTGTATTTCTATTGGACATGACAGTGCTAGAGATTCTCATGGGGGTGATTTTCCCCCCACCCCCAGGAGACATTTGATAATGTCTGGAGTTATATTTGGGTGTCACAAGGTTCCTGGTACAGTGCTCTGGACTGCAAAGTTGGTTTGAACCACAAGGTCAGCGGTTCAAGCTCATCAGCTGCTCCTAGGAAACCTTATACAGGGTCACTATGGATCGGAACTGACTCAACGGCACTTAGCAACAACAACTGGGAATGAAGTACTACTGCTGTCAACGTAGCCTTTGTCAAACAAATAATAATCCAATCAAAATGTCAGTAATGCTGAGACTGGGAATCCCTGCTATAGGGCATACATTCTTTGAGAAAAAGCTAATAAATTAGAGACAGGTCCTGGTGTGGCACTGTGGGTTAAAGCACCAGACTGCAAAGCCGTTCAAGCTCACCAGCTGCTCCTCAGAAACCCTACATAGGGTCGCTATGGGTCGGAACCCACTCGATGGCACTTAACAACAACAACAACAAAGAACTAGTTGACTGTATTATAGGACAAAGAAGCTTAAGCTTTTGTTACACTTAGTTCTCACAATTAATTATGGCTAGGGCACTAATTTTTATCCCTTCTCCAGAAGGGAGAATGAGGTCTAGAATAGAGAAATACTCTGCCTGGGATCCCTCAGTCAGGGAGTCCCAGAGCTGAGAGCGGAATTCAGCCTCAAGCGACTCCAGTGATTGCCTGTTCTTGAGCTGGTGCTGATGTGAACAGAGGCTGCCTGCGCTTACAGTCTAATATCCCCATCACTCAGATTCATACAGTTATTATTTACATCAGCCATTATTGCTACCAGGGGACGAGCATTAACAAAAACACCCTTTGAAAGGGGCAGCCTGCTCAGGGAGAAACGTTCACAGGCACCTCACCCATCAAATGAGGCTGAGGAGGTGCGTGGAAATAAATGAAACACAATGAAATAAACCTGTCAGGGAAGGAACATTCAGACGCCTCAGAAGGCAAGAGGTAAGAACAAATGTGTCTGATATGGGATTGGTTCTGTTTAAAGACAACATTATTTGACTGCTCAACTTGAATAGAGCCCCGAGAACAATGGCTTGGCAGAAATGGGCCTGCTCACATAGGCTCTGGGGAAGCATTGTTTTGCAATAAATTGGGTGTGAGCACAGCGATGAGCGTCACTTTCCTCTCTCACTGTCACCATAAGTTCATCAGCAGCTGACACCTCCCTTGGAGAAGGTTGAGGCTGGTGGACTCCTGATGGGATGAGGGAGGGACTGGCACTTGGCAAAGACCTACTAAGTGCTGATAACTGTGCAGGACACTATCTAGGATGAGCACATTTCATTTTTAACGTGGCTGGAAGGTGATGCAATTAATTTTGCAGGTCACACAAAGAGACGCAGCTTGCTTGAGCGTAGTGTACATAGTTAACTTGCCTGTCTTATTAACTAAAATATTGAAGGTTCGAATCTACCCAAAGGCACTTTAGTAGAAACACAGCAGCCATTGAAAACCCTATGGAGCAGAGTTCTATTGAAAGTACTTGCCATTTTCAGAATTGTTCACAGCAAGTGGTTAACTTGCTTGAGGCTGTACAACCAGAGAATGGCTGGGAGGAAATGCCTCAGGTGTTGGAGAGACCCGGCTGGGCTATGGTGGTCAATGGCAGGTACAAAGGTAGGGACAAAACTTGGTTGTGGTAGGTGCAGTGGTTGGGGTTCTGTCCTTCTCTTGGGTTAAACTGGCCACCCATTCTCCAGCTGGTATATAAAAACTCTCAGATGCCCCTCCTAGAAGAAATATCCTCAGGCAAGGGGGGCTATGTCCATAAGTCAGTCCTGGCTAACTGACAGGAGGTTCAAAAGACTGGCCCCCAAATGTGGGATCAACTCTGCATACAACTTCTGCTCTAGAGCTCCACTTGGGCTCAGGCGAAATCAGCATTGCCTGACTTCTTCCCCTCTACTGCTCTGGTAGCGTAGTGGTTACAAAACTACCAGCGGTTCGAAACTACCAGCCGCTCCACGGGAGAAAGATGAGGCTTTCTACTCCCGTAAAGATTTACACCCTCGGAAACCCTGTACAGGGTCGCTATGGGTCGGAACCGACTCGACGGCACTTAACAACAACAACAACTGCTTTCCTCATACCTTGCCCTGAGCAAAGTCCTCAATAAATCATCTGCACAAGAAACCTCATCTCAGGCTCTCTGTCTAGGGGACCTAGCTGAAGACATTAACAGTGATGTTTCAGTGTTTAGGAAGTGGTTGGACCAGAGTGGGTTGAAAAGATGCTAGAAAACTGGATTCCTGTCATCACTGTCTAGTGCACCACCTTCCCATCATAAAAACGTGGCCAGTCAGGACCTAGTTAAGAGGAGACTATTGTCCACATCACTGGCTTTGAGAGGATAGGCAGAGGTTTGACATCTTCAAAAAACTTCCCATTTACCAGAAAGCGCTCTTGCAGAACCCAGCTGCCTAGATCAGGAGGTCTCTTTATCTCTTTAATCTGATGAGCACTGACCTCTGACCTGGACAGGCTCCCACCCTAACCTTTGAATAGTGGTTAATGCTTATGTAAATTGAGAATCACCTGCCTTGTGCTTGAGAATTGTTGTTGTTGTTGTTATGTGCCATCGAGTTGGTTCCGACCCATAGCGACCCTGTATAGGGTTTCCGAGGGTGTTGAGAATGGGGACTGGTATTTCCTGCAAGTGAATACTGACTCTTGTCTAGGCAATCAATCCCATACCAGTTACTCACAGATTCATGATCTTGCTTCCTTTCAGAACATACCTCCAGGGGGCTTGCATTTGCACAGTCGAGTCTATAGTGCAAATGATGCCCGAGAGGCATTTTTATTCCTAGTTAGCAGATTAGAAAAAAGGGGGCTTATCCAGTTTAAGGGATGTGATCAGGGCAAATGGTAGAAGCTGAGATCATCACCGGATCTGCTCATTTCCTCGGCTTTGACTTGTTAGGTCAACTTCTTTCTCAAGGCCTGGTCAGAGCTCACTTGTCACTTAGCCTTTCCCTAGCTCTAGGTGCTCCGTTTGTTCTGAGCACTGCCCATCTCTCCCTTGTAACACCACTCCCAGATGCAGTAGTCTATTTGTTTGTGTAGCCTTGTCACAACTGGCTGTTTGCCCTCCTGGAAGATCATGCCTGCTTTGCTCCTCACAGTGCCTGCCAGGTAGTAGCCAGCACTTAGTAAGCATCAGTAGGATGGATGAATGGATGGGTGACTGAATATGTGGGTGGATGGGTGGGAGGTAGGGTAGGTGGGCTACACTTCCTCTTGGGTACACCTTGCCTGGGGTCACTCTCACTCCCTTCCCACCCACCCAGGGCTCTGGCAATCACCTGTGGTGAGGAGGCAGAGTGGAGTCCCCGGGGTCACCTGGGCGCTGCCCATTGGTGCTGACCACAAGGAAGCCAGTCCCCAGGCAGCATGCAGAAGAGAAGGAGAAAAAGAAACACACATGAAAACGTGCGGCACAGTGAACACAGCTGTAATTCTGTGGCTCTGACGAGCTCACACTAAATAGCAAAAGAATATCATGATCTAACAAAACAGGGCCTGAAATCAATTTTTAAAAGATGAAACAAGAGTAAGAGTCACATGTATCAAGCACCCATGAGACACCAGGTGCCCTGCCAGGTGTTTCATGTTGTGATGTCTCTAAGACTAAGACCAAACCAGAAAGGTCAGTGTTATTATAAATGGACCTGCCACCTTTCCACCCAAACTTTTTCTCCCTCAGTTTTCCCTTTTTCAGTAAAAGTTGCCACCACCCATGCACTTGTCCAGCCTAAAAATCTGGGTGCCACCCTTTACATCCCATTTCTAATTAATCAGCACACCTTATGGACTCTATCCCTGGAAAGCTCAGGAAATTGCGTTCCTCCCACTCCAATTTCATTCCTACTGTTTCAGCTGGATTCTTTTAGCAGCCACTTATCTGGTCTTCTTGTCTCCAGTCTTGCCCCCCTTCCAGCCACTCAGTTCCTTCAGCTGAGAGGTATCCGTGGCCCCCATTGTTCACAAGGCAAATTTAGTCCAGCTCAGAGGTCCTCAAGGATGAGCTGTGAGCTGGGCTCAGACCTGTCAGCATCTCCAGTCTCATCTGTCTTCTCTCCCACCATCACACTCTTAATTTTTCTCCAAGTAAAACAGACTAACTTCCATTCTACACAGCACCCTACCTGCTTGTCTATAGGCCTTACGAAAGCGAGTGGATTTGCACGAAACAGACTCCTTTCTACCTCTTCACCTGCTTAACAACTACTCACCCTTCAGGTGTCAGCTGACAACTCTTTCCCTCTAGGGGAATCTAGTGTCCTATCTAGTTTGGGACAAATGCCCCTCCTCTATCTCCCCATAATTCCCTTATCACTGTTATGAAGTCACAAGCAATGGCCTTCTCCTCATTTCTGTCATCGTCTTCAGGGCACACTGTCTTATTCATTGGTGTCGTGCTGTGTGGCCATGCATTATCCCTGGCACATAGTAGGTACTCAGTGGATATTTGTTGAATGAATGAAGAAATAGTGCATCAGGGAATTGTTATGTCTTGCTCCAGGTCTCAGAAGTAGAAACTGGCAGGGGCAGTAGTTAAACTCTGCTTTGTGTGAGTTGATTGCTCCTACCCTTTCTAACCCACCAGTTGTCTCTCTAAAGAAAATGATGCAGAAGGCAGAAGGGTCTCTTACACAAGGGATGCAAGTTTCTCCCATACAACAGCAGAACGTTCTCATGTAAATTGAACAAAGATAGGGCATTTCACACCAACTGATAAACAGTAAACACATAATTTCAAAAATGAAAACAAATGGCAAGCTTGACCAACAGCCTTGAAAAACAATAAAATGTAGCCACCAGTCAAGTCATCTTAGTACTTCCACCTAAAAAATATGAGGACTTTTACTATTTTCAAAGCACGTTCTAAGTCAGGGAGTCAGCAAACTGCCCAAACACCAAATCCATCCCTGCCACCACATACACACACCTCCCTGGATTTTTTCTGTATGTTAGGAACACTTTGGGCCTCTTTTTAATAGTTGGAAAAATATTAAAAGAATATTTCATGACATGTGAAAATTATATACAAATTCTAATTTCAGTGTCCATAAATAAAGTTTAATTGGACTACATTCATTCTTATATGTATCCTCTGTGAATGCTTTTGGGTTACCATGACAAAGTTGATTACTTGTGACAGAGACCATATGGCTTACAAAGCTGAAAATATTTACTATCTGGCCCTGTTTTAAGTGGCTATTTTTATTTTTCAAACTTGGAGTTTGGCAAGATAGGGACTGTTGGCCTCACATTTCAGAAGAAAAACAGCAGGAAGAAGGTTTGGGAAGAGATGACTCATATGCCCCACCAGACCTCTGATGCAACCTCCTCACTTCCATTTTGAGTCTTGTCACTGCCTCAGTCTCCCTTTTCCCACCAGTTTTCTAAGCTGCGACTTCATGATGTTTCTGTAAAAGCTTATGCCTTTCTCTCTTACTGGCTCCAAACAATGGTCATGCACTCCTAACCAGCAAAGCACTTGTCCTTGTGTTGATTCTGACTTGCGGCAATCCTGTGTACGTCAGAGTAGAAGTAACTGTGTTTCATAGGGTTTTCAGTGATCCAGCCAGGCTTTCTTCAGAGGCTCCTCTGGGTGGATTCAAACCCCCAAACTTTCCTCTTTTTTTTTTTAATGTTTATTGTGAATTATGTGATCGTTTACATGGGAGAACATTAGTTTTACATTCATCGTATCCTATATCATTTCATTGCCATGGTTACAATCCCCTCCATGCATCACAACCAACCAAAGGGTATACCCTGCAATCCTGCTCCCCCACTCTTCCTCCCCTAGTCATCAGCACACAGCCCCTTTCCCTCTCTGTGTCTAAAGTCCCCAGCCGCTCCATCTCAGGCATCACTGCTTCTCTGGGTAAGGTCTGCACTCTGCTCTTCTCCTTTGATGGTCCCAGGGACCTCTGCTCCTAGACTGAAAAGTTAATCACTCCCCTCCTTGCTACAAAACATCTACATTTACATGTACATCCCTCACAATCAGTCCTGATAACAATTATTCACTATTGTATCACAAGAGACCTATCTGCATTTCCTTTCATAAACCCCCAAACTTTTTTTTTTTTTTTTTATAATTTAAGGTTTTTATTGTGGATTGAGTGAAAGCTTACAGGGCACATCATCAGTTTTACATTCAACAATTCATATAACTTGTTTCATTACATTGATTATAATCCTCTCCATATACCATGAGTTAAAAGTATTTCTCTCTATCCACTTTAGGTTTTTTTTTTAAAAAAACACACAAACAAAAAAACCCACTCAGGCATATATAATAATTTACATCTCCAAAGGGTACATTCTGCAAGTCTGCTCCTGGCCACCAGTTCTTAGTCCTTCTCTTCTTAGTTGATGAATCTAGAGTCCTCAGCCTCTCTCCCTCGCCATGCCCCCATCTCTGCCTCCATCTCTGGTGCTGCTGCTTCTCTGGATAAGGTCCCACATTCTATTTGTATGTTCCTCTCTTGATGGTCCTAGGGTCCTCCGTTTCTGGACTGTAAGATTAACCACTCCCCTTTTTTTGTTACAAAACTTCTACCTTTACAAGTGTGACAGTCACGATTAGTCATAACAGTTATTCACTATTGAATCTTACGAATCTTATCCCCATCTCCTTTCACCAGACCCATCTAGACAAGATGATAGCTATTCAGTGGGGTCTCTTTCTTTCCCCCCACACTCTTAAACTAAGCTCCCTCTTGAAACCTTGTAAGCCAGTCACTTCATGCCTTTATTGTCCCCTCATTTTAGATAGCCAATGTCTAAGTTGCCCCTCCTTATCTACCCTATGCACAGAGTGGATAGCATTGATACTTGATTTGAAGACTCTTTCCCTCTCTGTTGGTATTTAGAGTAACTACCGCTCTGAGTATAGGTCAGGTTCATGAAGATGTATCTTCTGTCACTATAGCTGTTCCAGTCTGCTTGTCCTTTCTAGTGGGAATGTCTCACCTCACAAGGTTGTGGGTGGGACTCAGGATTCCACCTAAGGTCCTATACTCTATAAAGGCTTTGCATGAGGCCTATTTCACTGGGCAAGTTGTAGAACCCCTTTTAGGTATTCTAATCTGTTATAGGCTGAAGGTGGGCTTACAAGTTTTCTCTAATCATGTTTCCCAGCATTCCTTTTCTATCCCACTCAAGTGTCTATTTTACAATAGTAGGCAAGGGAAACTAATATTCATAAGGCAGTCAAGGATTTTAGTATTATTTACCCTCTTCAAGCTATGCCTAGTTCCCTGTATCCCAGAGCCCTGTTGTTCCAAGGTTGAGTATGCATCACTATTTCCTTCTGTCCCACTGGGCCATGCAAACCTGTTTCAGTGTTCCCCTAAACCACCAAACTTTTGATTAGCATCTGAGTGCTTTAGCCAGTGGGCGCTCCTCATACTAGACGCTCTGGGGTTATACAGAGCCCTCCCTTGGTGATCTGGTTTTCCTTATCACTTCAGCTTTGCCTCTGATCACACCTAGCTTTATCTGGTTTCTCTAACGTTAATCTAGCCATCGTTCCTTTCCTTGGGCCCATTTGAGTTCAATGGCATGCTCTTTTACTTGCTTGGCTTAGAAGACCTCCAATGCCTTACTCTTCAACATTGTTCAACATGATGATTGTTACTCTTCTTTCAAGTCTCAGAGACCAAATGTTCCCAGAAAATGTACCGTAAGTTGATTTAAGTTTATCTTCTCTGCTCCCATGGCTCCCTGAATTTACCTTCATCATAGCCCTTATTATAATGTATTGATACAATTTATTTGTTGGCTCTCCCACTAACTACTATTTATATTATATAAGTCAAGCATAACGCTAAGCCCTTTATATGTATTAGCTCATTAAATTCTTACGTTAGTCCATGAATTGCATAATATTATTATTATTTTATCCATTGGGAAATAGAGCAGTTTAATACTGTCTCCAGCTTGGAGCCAAAGTTTGTACAAATCCATGGGCGATGTTCTTAACTTCTAGGGAATGAGGGATTACACAGTAATAGTAAGATGCATTCAATAAATGCATATTGCAAACTAAATGAAAAAATGAAATTCTAGTTCTGAATTTTTCACTTACTAGCTGTGTCAAACCTCAGGATGGGTGGTTCAAACCCACCAGCAGCTCCTTGGAAACTCTATGCCGGATCATTATGAGTCAGAAACAACTCAATAACTTAATAACTTGACAACAACAGTAACACTATGTCAAATGTGGGAAATTATATAATTTCATTCAGTTTCTCCTTCTATAAAATGGGGATAGTAATAAGTGTCTAAAGTTTTTTAAAGTATTTAATGAAAACCAGTTAAGGCCTTAATTTGGTAGCCTTCT